GTCTATTTTCTTCTTAGTTAATTCCGAGCCCCGGGCCAGGTCGTGACGGTCTAGCTTCATGCCAGTGAAAAAATGTGAGTGGTGAGATTTTTTTTTATTTCCTCATTTTCTACTGTAAAGAATATGATCCCCTTCTCACTAGAGAACTGATATTTTGAATTTTCTAATCATAATCAGAAATCTGTTATGAAAAATAATTGTGATTTTGTTAAAAAATTTGATAATGTTAATGCACTTCAAGAACCAAAGAAATATTTTTGGTGATAATATCCGTAGTTGATGAAGTGATCAATACATAGGTGTTAGTAGAGACATGAACATTAGCGATATCTCCTGAAGTGAATCGGTTCATGGCTCTAGGTATTGGGAATATATCTGAACAGATGAGGGGGCGACATCCATCAGAGAGATAGGAGGCTTTTTATTAGCATACGGTGGAATGTCCTGTTACTAAAATTTAGGATTTCTTGCATTGAAACGTGCCTTGCAATATTCAAAGATTATGTGCCCAAAAATTTACCTACTGTCAATATTTAGACATGGAGACCCGACACACTCATTGTAAAAAAAGAGCTGTATCGTCTAATCCACCAAGTCTCTAGCCATAGAGGGTTTATTAAAACGAGCCATCGAAGCATCCACCTATAAGGCTTTTCAAAAATAGTGGCCAATGAGAATTTGAAATATTTATTGAACTATTGCAGAAGAAGCCATAGAAATGAAACCAAAAAAGAGTGAAGGGAAGTTTCATGGAGCATTCAAAATGGGGGAAGTATTTTAATATGCACATCGGGAGGCTAATAGGATGTGAATGCCAGGAGGAGAGTCTAAAATAATATGCACTAAATAAGTCTTATAATGACATTTCGAAAGTTGATGAGCCTAACGAAGTAGTCAGCGACAAACTGTAAATCAGACAAGAACTTGTCAATTACATTCATGTTAGAATGATCTATAAAAATATGTTAATAAGTGAGATGGTGAGGGGCCTTACATCCACATAAATCTCATCGGAAAAGAGGACAGCAGGTTGCCTTAAGAAGATGATATTGTTAATTTTTTTAATTTTGGTAAAACCAAGGTGGAGAACTGTTGAAGACCACATGGGAAGGAGGTGACAGAGGGGAAATGTGGAGAGTTGTTGTAGAGGGGATTTGCCTACAATGAAAAGAGGATTCTCATAAATGTTCGAAACCACATGGGAAGGAGGTGACAATCTCACGGGGGTCAACCAAGGCCTTGTGAGATGTCGTTGCGGGAGGAGGTGGGGATCCAAAGGGGCTTTGATTGAATAAGAAATGTAGAAGGTCCCTTAAAAAAGTAATTAACGGAAGAGATCGTTTGTAACCACGAGCATGAGAGGAGCAAAAGTCTTCTGCCGATGAGAGAGAAGAGGATGACAAAACAAAGTTTGCTTTAGATGTCAGAGGGATGGAGAGTGGAGGAGATGCCATTGCCATGAGGTGGCATCAATGTCAAAGTCAGCCCCAGATGTTGCAGCAAAAAACATAAATGTTGCTAAGAGGGTGGCCCACTAGAATTGATGCATGCTTGCTGGTTTTGATGAGCCTTCTCTACTGAGCGCTTGAAATAACTTTATTTTTATTATTATTATTGTTTATTTTACAAATAAATTTAAGCTTAAATTTTAAAAATAAATTAATTTAAAAACTATTTGCTATGAATAAAATAATAACATAAACGGATGATAAATATAATATAATATTAAAATGAAACCCACCGCCACCTCCCCCGCCTTCTTTAAATCCTTCTATGGAGGCAAATATTTGCTAAATGACTTACCTTTAATCTAGTAAAAATGAATAAAAGCCATGCCAGCTTTGCCCTTCATCATGTTAGCAGGCAAATAAAAGCTTCTTTAAAATTGGTCCACTAGAGAACGATCTATGGAATTTATGTTATTTACTTTGGAAATTAATATTTTAAAAAGAAAAAACCTTCAATAGATTTTCCATTGTTAAATGACGATCAAGCCTAGAAGATGGAATTATTGCTATTTCTAATATTGATGATTTGCGGGGTCTAAATGTTTGGATTCTGTGTTCTCTCTATAGACAATTTAAGGGTATGATCAAAAAGCAAGACAACTTTTTGAAACTATACAGTTGCCTTCACTTCGAGAATTTAATCGTCTTTGTACTATTTAAATTTAAAAAAAAAACATCTTCTATAATAAGAAATTTTGAATTGAATTTATGGAAGGTGAAGTGTGATGGGATTTCAGAAACATAAAACAATGTTTTGATGGATGTCAGTTGAAGTTTTATTGAGTTTACGGCACTGCAAGCCTACAATCTTAATCTACTATGAGGCTTATTTTATATGGCAACTCAAAAATGAGTTATGGTACTTTTTGAGGGGCAAGTGTCGCATATGGCATGCTGTGGCCCATTGTTTAAAACTTGTTAGGAAACTTGATGATTTAAGGCACCTCTTATAATTGATACTTATACAAGTAACAAAATTTATGCTTGCTATTCCACCTATCAGTGAGGAGATGCCATTTCTTTTGCCTACACTGGTCTTTATTTTATTCTAGAAATTGAAACAGTGGCATGCTTTTTCTTATTAAGTAAAGGTGGTGTTTTGGCTTCAACCTTCACCAACCCCTTCACTGCTTAAGAAGTAGAGATTGTTGTATGGCTTCATTATATAACAACCTCCTCTTTGCTAATAAGCAGTGATTTTGGTTTTGCATTTCCTCTTCTATCTCATTGATGACAATTTTCTGAAGAAGGTGAGATTTGTTTGTGACTTCAACCAATTCTACCCTCTTTAGCCTTTTTTTTCCATTAAATAAGCAAATGCATCATCTTGGCCCTGATCTACACCAACCTTTTCTCTGCTTAAGAAGTGAGAACAATAGTTTAAATTAGGCTTAAAACCTATGTTTGGGAACTCAATGATTTGGCATCTGTCTCCTCAAAAGTGACATGGGTTTAGCGCACATCTATATTTAAAATTAAGTGAACTTCCACGGGCATTTGATATAGTAGTGTAGCGGGGCTTTATTTTTCTTCATTGTTTTACTTGTGGCTCCTAATAATTGGCTTCAACTTGCACAATAGTGCACTGCCTGTTCTGTCATTGATTTTCGCCTTTAACAGGCAAATCTATTAATTACCATTGGTCTGCACAATGTGCATTGTGTCTGTGCGGCTTGAACTACTCCAATTTTTAGCCGTTAATTGGCAACATTGTAAGAGAGCTTTAAATTAAAAAAAAAAAAATGCCTTGAATGGGAGAAATGTAAAAGAGATTTTAAATAAAAAAAAAAAAAAAAAAGGCTTTAGAGTAGACAAAAATCAACTTCTTATAAACAACTTTGCAACTCGACTTTTGCTCACATTGTTATGACTTTAGATTGTGCAATGGTGGCGTAGCTACTTATAATAGTGGCTTTAAGTTTGATTTTCAGCCTTCGGTTTGGCTTCAACTTGCACAAAAAATTACATGACTTTGAACTTCACCATCTTCAGTCTAGATGACAACTTTAAAAAATTGCTAGGAGTTTATTTAACATAAGTAGCCAACTTCTTTAGCCTTTAGTAGTGGTGGCCAGCTTCCTTAGCCTTCAATGGCATTTGGTTAATAAACTCTTTCCAAATCCGCTTAGTTGGATCAAAGAAGGAGAGAGGCATGTCCTAAGCTGGTTTTCAACAATCTATCATAGTGATTGTACATTAACATGGTTTAATACGCAATATGAGATCCCCCTTATGGCTAGCCAGTGCTTTTTTGATAAATTCATATTAGAATTGATGCCTTATTGGGTACTTCATGACGCTTATGCCTCACATATTGTGAAGCTCCTCTCAGATATCACCTCGGGTGAGGCGTATGTAATTAGATTTAGGATTTTTCTTAAAATAAATATAAGTAAAATGACCATAATAAATATTCATTACTCACCCAATCATGTACCATTATAGATATAATTGAAGTTAGTATTATCAACAAAATTATTGTTCTATGATTTAATAAATATTTGTATTTATTTAATATTGATTAAATAAATAGAAGATGATTGAGATTTGAGATAAGGGGGAGTGAGAGAAAATGGATACAATTGAGAATGGGTTGAAGGATAAAATAAATCATTATGCTAATGATCTTGATGAAGGGTCATTAAGTGATAAGTGTGATGGGGGCTTTTGAATTTAAAAATTCAAATCCTAGTGGTTTTTAATGTTTTTATTTTGATGAATAACAATAGGGGTGTGAGAAATGCGAATTATATCAAACTTATTTTGATTTGTTATGTTATTATTTCGTAGATGTTTATATAATCTTGGTTATTCATGATTTGATGTTTGAACATTAATATGTTACTTCTTTTAAGGCTTACACCTTATTGGCTTTGAGACTACTTTCTAGAGGCATTGTCCGATTACATGGAATTTACTGTCTTGTTGATTTTGTTGCAAAAGCATGAGGAAATGCTATTTTGCAAATTTTCTTTAGGGCTAAAGCTTGTTCAGAGTCAGAGAGCTGATTTAAGCAGTTCAGTGACCTCACGGGGACTGCCACCCTCATGTCAGCCTTGATTTAGCTACTTTGGTGCAGGAAGCTGGCCTATTCAACCAGTCAACTGGCTCTGACTATTATGCTGTTTGAAGACGGAAGTTTGTGGGAATTTTTTGACTATTTATTCCTTCAAGAAAAATAGTCAGAAACATAGATGAAATTCTGGTCTGACTACACAAATATTGTGTAATTGTTTGTCATTTTACAAACTCTGCGATCTGAAACAGCATGTGACCTTTACATATAAATTATTTTTACGTTGTCATACTTTTATTTATAATGCCTGCTACTATTGCCTTTTCTCGTGCAGAATGTATTTCTAGTAAAGTTTCTTAGCCCTTTCATTGTTTAGGTGTTTACAGCAATACCAATAATGCCAAATTCTACCTAGTAAAAGAAATTTGATTATGTATGAGAAATCACTGATGGTTGCTTCTTATGCTCATTTCTAGAGCTTTGATCAAAACAAGATGGGGATGGTTCGATTGGATGCTTTCATATCACTATGTATATTTGTGCAGTCAGCACGGTAAGTTAAAAATTTATATGCTTGGTGGAGTTGTAAATTTGTGGTTTGTTGCTATTAGAAGTGCCTATATATAGCCTTTTTATCTTTCTTTAAGGTACCATAACGTTATTTTGGTTAAGTATTGCTTGAGATTGCTAGTTTCTTATCTAATTAATGACAACTATCAGTTGGTTTTCTAAAATAATCTTTTGAAATTCCTGTAAATCAACATCATAACCTCACTTTTTTTAAATGCAGTATGACTCTCTATTATATTTGTACTTTTATAAAGGTACACATGTATATATTGAATAGCATATTTTGGATTTTCAGGAAGCAATGCCATAGTATATTTTCAAACATCTATTGATCTATTTTTTATTTATTTATTTCATGATTGTAATGAACTTCTTTACAAAAGCAACCTTTATTTTTAAATTTTTTTTTTATTTATTTTTATACCTTCCTTGTTTTTTTCTTTGCTAGGAATTTAAGGATTAACCCTTACCACCAAATTAAATGTATAATTTGTTCATCTCTGGCAACCCAAAATGAATGAGCCAGCTTTCAATTTCTCTTAAAAAATCAAATAATTTATTAGAAAAAAAACAGGCAAATTCCATCATATAACCCTGGCATGTTGATAAAATCTACGGACTTTGAAATCATACAATTTTGACGTTTAAAGACCACTGAAAAGTAGTTGGTTTAAGGTGAACTAGGCCAGTCTTCTCCACATGTATTAAGGGGCAGTACAAAATAAGGTAATTTGATGGTAACAACCACGCCATTGCGGACCTCCAAGGGATTGCTAGACTGTCCTTTCTAGAATGCACTCAATGATGCCTTCTAAACATGGTGATACTAATTTGTTGATGTGTAAATTATTGCTTAGGCAACCAGGGCTTCCATAGACTTTTTCTCGAAACCAATTGCGGAAAAATACTCTTCTTGTCAATATGAAATAGTTGGATAATGATGCTGTTTTCCAACTACCTCAAATCAATAGAGACAAGTCTTATCAAAATCATTTCATTAATATGATTTTAAAACTTCAATTTATGACCGACATTGGGCCTGTGTTGTCGGGATTGTCAAGATTATATATCTAAATAGTTGATCAATGACATCAATGACAGGCTACTTAATGACCACTTCCTTCATGCTACTTCGAGTTAGCCACAATTTAGACTGAAATGCCATGTCAGCCTAGAGCATTTTTTTTTGTTTCATTTGGTTGCAAGAGAGCATACAACAACAACAAGCCTTTATCCCATTAAGTGTGGTTGCAATAGAACTTGTTCTGCACAATTATTACCGATAACTACTAATGTTGTTTTGAATAAGGAAAACTATAATGACTTATGAAAATTAGAAATGGTCCTCATTCTAACTTTTTTTGTCTTTCTTTATTTAGAAATATCTTCAGAGCATTTCTTGACGTGGGGTGGGATTCCGTGTTTTGCGGAATCGTGAAGGGGCTGTGTTTGTGTGGGACAAGTCGTGGAATCCCGTCGAGTCTGATTTATCGTAAGACTTTACAGCTTGGATCGATTCATGAGAACCGGTCCACACTTCCTTTACGTGAATTTCCCTCATATTTGTAATGGGGTCTACTCCTTTTTACGCTAAGTCTATAAATATATTGTTTCGTGTTTTAGGTCAATTTCTCATATCTTTCTGTTCAAGACAGCCATCGACTTCTACTGCTCCCCTTCTAAGTGGAAGGTGCTCTGGCTGTAGCTTGTTCGAGGTGGTGATCATTTCCAAGGATTGAGTGATGCTTCAATTGAAGTTCGATCCCACAAAAATATTTATCCTCGATTTACCATCCTCTATAAGCCTCCCTTCGTGATGTCGCTACCTTTCATCGCTGTCGGAACCATCGAACAACACTCCTGCTATCTTCCTGCAACTCCAGCCGCCAGCCAGTACCTCTATTGGCTGCCATCCTTTCCAGTGACCTCCTACCTAGCTGCCACTAATTTTAGCCACCCGTCTTCGCTGTCTAACCACCCCATCCCCTTGCTGTCATATCTCCAGGACAACCCTCTCTTTGCTATCCAACAACCTCATGCCTCCTCGTTGCTGTTGCGTCATTCCTACTTGCTGGCGCCACCTGAACAACAATTACATGTTGTTTTTTGTTTTTCCAGTTTCCTCTATTCCAGGTTACTGCCATTATCACAACTCCTCCACTGCAATCGCCCTCCTCCCTATCTTTTGCAACCCAGGACCGCCTTTTCTGGTCGTTTTGCTGCTGTTCATCCCCTTATCTTTGTTGTCGTCTCCATTTCAGTCCTCCATCCTTCCTGCCATCACCCGGGGCAACCCTCCATCCTTGCTTCCATCCTCCTGAGCAGCCCTCCAACATCACCTCCTATTGTTTGCTTATTGTCCGACACCGAGAAACGGTTGCTTTGTTGTTTTCTTTCTGCCAACTGCCTTTTTCATACCCCCCTCAACCCACAAACTTCCAAACTCTCGCTGACCACCACCACAACCTCTGGATTGCCCCCCCCCCCCTCCCAAGTTGAGTGTTGTCATGTCTGTTGCTATTTTAATTTTTTGGATGTTGTGTTGCTGTATTATTCCTTTCAAGTGAGTTGTTTGTAACCGTCTATTTGCTTTTAGTAATAATATTTGGTTAACCTTTTGTTGTTTGGGTTAACTCTGGTATCATTTGATATCAAAATTAACCTAACCCTAGTCCTATCCTAGGATTTTTAGCATCCATCTATACCCAACCTTTCTCTACACAAAATTTTTTATTCTCACTATACAACATGCTTACACACGTCCTTTCACCTAACCACCCTTGAACCCTAGTCATACCATTGATGTAACAATATACAATCGTTGGTCGAGAGTTTGCCATGGAAGAGATACAACAACAACTCCATGGAGTGGTACAGTGGCTCGATGAAATTGAGGAATGGCAGCAATCTAGACGGGTTAACCGTAGCCACAATGGTGACATACTAGATTGAAGGAATGGAATGAATCTCTTCACCATGTGGATTCCAAGATGAAGAATCTCTTCCCCAAAACTTGAGCTGCAATATCTTAGAATCCAAGATTTTGAAGCATATGTGAATTTGTCATATTTCGACAGCCAAATGGATCCAAATAATGTCATCGAGTGGCTCTGGAACTTGGAATGTCTCTTTTAGTGGCTAGACATCCCACCAGACAAAATAGTAAAACTAGCCGCCAACAAGTAAAGGAAGAGCACACTTCAGTGGTGGGCAAACTTGAAGATTCTTCGACAATGAGAAGAGAAGAGTAAAATTACTACATGATGCAAAATGAAATGAGAGATGCAGTATCTGTACCTAGTAACTCTCTATAGATCAGATGTTCAACTTCCATCTTAAAATGTGAGGTGGCCACATCACCGAGCGACCATCACATCCTTCAACCATGGTTCAACTCGAGTTTTAATTTCAACGGATTTCAACATATTGATTCAGATTGCACAACCAATACAACAATCTCTTTCACTGATTAGGAAGTAGTTGAAGAAATGAACAATGACACAGTAGACACTGAAGAGCGTGAGCGCACAAAAGATTGTCTGTTGCTAGCCAATGAGAAATAGGTGTCATTGATTTCAGTTGAATCCATGAGAGATTCCAATTGAATTGATAGTAGTTGTTCTAGAAGGTAGTGAGTCTAAGGTAATGGACGTTCATGTAGAGTGTGAGGTTGTGGTGCCTCGAGCAATCTTTTTGCAGGAATTTAGAGGAACATCTATAGACTAACACTGGATATCCCAAAGGGTCATGAGTTGGAGGAGCTGATATCAAACACAGGGAAACCCCAAATAAGAGAAATTCAGACTTTTTAGGTGTATAAGCTACTTTCTGAGTTACCCCTGCTGAGGGAAGTTAAATATGTTCGAGATGAGACTTTTTTGTGCAGCTTCTAGAAGCCCATAATGAGCCATTGGGGTATTAATTTTAGTTCAGCAGTGTGCCCGCCAGCAAATCACCAGACAGGAGGCATGAAACTTAGTGTTGGAAATTGCCTTAGGTGCTTTGGTGGGAGAGAAAATCCTACAGTGGGATCCAGGTCCTACTAGAGAAGAAGTCTTTCCTGAGTTGTATACTTCAGCGTGGTCCAACATACCATAGATTTTGTTCAGAGTTGATTCCTTATAACAGGCTTATTTATTATATACATTTAGCCGAGAATGAGTGGAAGAAGCCAATTATACATTTAATGACTCTAGTATTGGTTAGCGAGGATACTCATTTGCGCGCAGTTTCAGTTCTGATTATGTCAAAAGAGGACGGGTACCTATTTATTAGATTGTCCTTTAGAATGATAACATCGACATAACTGACTTTTTGGAAGATTACAATAGTTCAGTTTTCTTCAACTTGGTTAACTTGACGTCGTACTATACGTAGACAAAAGCTTTGACAGATGAGATCGAAGCTCCATCAATCCTACGAGATTCATCCGGGGCATAGATCCCACGTTCTGAGAAATCTCGGAGGGGCCACTGTCGTGGGGGACATGCTGCAGAATCGCACCAGCCAAAATTTTTCGGCTGAGTTTGCTGCTTGGATTAGTCCAAATGGACCCAGTTGACACTTGTTCCCTCCTATTTAGAGGGGTCCACTCCTATTTATCCTAAACTATAAATATGTTGTATATGTGGTCATTTTTCAATATGTTTATTTGCAGGACAGTTGTGTACTTTCAATGTTGCCCTAGGGCTGTATCAGAAGGGGAGGTGTTCTAGCTGTAACTCCTTCGAGGTGAGGATCGTCTCCCAATGATTGAATGATGCTGCCACTATAATAGTTCAATCCCACAGATTTTTATCCTTGATTTTTTATTTTTTGCAACCCACCCTTCACTGTTGTCGCCTCCATTCCTCATTATCGAAAATACCAGATAGTAATCTTTCTTGCTGCAACTCCAATCTCTAGCTACCATCCACCTGTTTTCATCCTTTTCGGGCTCCCACCTTGCTGCCACTCATTCCAGTCGCTTATCTTCGATGTCCA